TTGGAGATATGTCATAACAAACATGCATCTAAAGTTTCGCATTTATAATATTAGTGAGATGTTAAGAAGTAATGTTTTTTTTTTTATAAATCGGTCTCGACAGTTAATGTGTTTAAAAATTAAACAAAAATTCGGACCAACTTGCAAGCACTACCTTTAGGAAAATATTTACAAAAGATGTACTGACGAATCGAGTAACTACCTGATTTTTTTAGGGAAGTCGATCAAAAAGAACAAACAAGAGAAAAAAACCATTTTCAATCTCTTCAATCTGATGTGAGCATAATTATGTCAATATTGACTGAGCCAGCATCTGAAGCGGCTGTACGATTATGCCAGCTCGTTTCTTAGGATCTTCTAGCAGCACTATGGGATTGACATGTCTTTCCCAAGACAAAAATTGCCTAAAAACTAAGATAAAAAAAATCTCTTCAACAAAATTTTATCGCACAATAATTTCCTAGTTAGTTATAGACTTGAAATATACTTGCAGCCCATTAATTGCGATCTCCCAACTTCCTTTATCACTGTGCAAAATTATGTTCTCGTAGAGAGTTAAATTGGGTGCCGGGTCGTTATTTCACGCTATCTTTTAAATGAATTGAAGGAAATTCTTTGTCTTATAATGGTTAGTACTTTTAATTTATTTTAATTGCTATTGCAAACTTTAAACAATATTTATAGAAAACAATGGATTACAAATCATTTACAAAAAATCAAGAACCACAACTTTTACACAGCTTTGCTTGCGACTTCGTTCGCGCGGAATTAAAAATACAAAAGTAAATAACCTATATGTTTTTCCAAACTATCCTCTACTTATGCCAAATTTCATCGAGAACCGTTCAGCAATTTAGGCTACAAACTTTAACAAACATTTGTAATATTCAACATCATCACCAGCTCTCTTACCCAAAGTTAGGGTGACTAGGCCATAGTCAACCACGCTGCACTGCGGGTTGGTTGACTTCACACATATCTTTGAATTTCTTCGCCGATATGTGCAGGTTGCATCACGATGTTTTCCTTCACCGTAAGAACGTCGGGTAATTTATGTACGTATGAAAATTCGAAAAATCACATGGCGGGATTCGAACCCAAGACCTGTAGACTTCAAGTCAAGTGCTTAAACCACTGAGCCACCGACGCTCCGCTTTATAATATTATTAAGATCTATTCCCAATGGACTGGATGGATATTAAAACACTCAAGAGTTAAATTATTACTATAAAAAAGTGAATTTCCGTCCAGTTCGTCCATAAAACATTATCATTGTCGAGACCCAACATTATGTCCAAGTAAATGAAGATAGAAGATTTTAAAATATGCAACCGGTCATTATTTAAAACTCCCGCTATCACGGGAAAAGGAAATCAAACGTGAAAAGCGCTGGGAAATGAATAATCTACTTTTGAGATATCTTTTTGTAATATATTTAGTTTCTAAAAATTTAAAGGGCTACAATTCTTCCATAATCATTTTTATATCGGTCTTATAGTTTAGGCTACGTAAGCAAAGAAAGCAAAAATGACCCTAAATTTCGTCACGCGATTTTGAATTAAACTATTTTAACTACGTCGTAGTCTTTGACTCCAAAAATCAAACCAAAAAATGGGACCCACTTGCAAGCATTATCTTTCGGATAAAAAAAGAATTATCAAAATCGATCCACTAGCGGCGGAGTTATGCCGTAACACACATAAAAAAAAAAACATACAGACGAATTGAGTACATCCTTCTTTTGGGAAGTCGGTCAAAAAAGAAGTATGAAATTTATTACTACACAGACAGAATTGTTCTCATATCAATAAAGAGGTCTGGAGCCTACTCCATGTTATGGTTAACTAAACCATAGTCCTAACTGTAATTTAAATAAAAATTTTACTAATATTATAAATGCTAATGTTTAGATAGATGTTTGTTAGAGTTTGTAGCCTAAGCAGCTGAACGGATCTTAATAAAACTTGGCATATATATAGAGAATAGTCTGGAAGAACACATAGGTTACTTAGATTTTTTTAATTCCACCCAGATCCGTCGCCGGCGAAAACTAATATAATAATAGTCGACCACGTTAGATTCACTGCACATCTTTGGATTTCTACACAGATATTGCAAGGTTGCTTTAGGATATTTTCTTGTAATATTTAGTTACTATTTTAGACAATGTTATTATTAACATCAATATTATTATTCTAAGACAAACGTTCAAGGTCTCAAGTACAAATATTTATGTAACACATTAGTATAACCGGACTTTCGACGCCATTCTTTTAAAAAACATTTTACCGAACCCATATGTCAAAGTGACGGAATTAATCGTTTAATAATTATAATAATGCGTGAATTTATATATTAATATATTAACATATAGTTTATCTTACTGGTCAATAGAAAGAAGACAAAACTAATAACATTGGTAGAGCCCGCTTTAACGAATGGGCCGGCTCGTCCGGTGTAAAACCACGACCACACAAAAGACAGGCGTGAAGTGGGAGCAATTTCGCGTACAGTCTTATAAGTGTCGTGCCGGAGGCCCAACTTTAATGCCTTTACTTGCCTTTTTCTTATAAGAATAGGATGGAAAAGGAACGTGGATTTGACGGTGCATGTTTACGTGCGTCTCCTTCTCTGTCAATTAAGGGTAGGCAACATAACCGCTATTGCGAATGTTTATGTACAGCTGTCGCTTTGGTATTTTGGCGGATTCAGGTGGATGCTTGCTTGTTGCCACCTTATAATATAAAAATAATAAAACACTAAGTCGAAACCGAACAATGTTTTCCGTTAGTATGGAAAGGAGTACAAAATGAATGGTAAACGATAGACCAGTTTTCGTAACTCGTATCCAGTGGTCGGCTTTCCTTCAAGTTCTTCACTTCGCTCTCTCCGTGACATTTTCTTCTGAGACATGTACCCATTTAGCGCTAAATTTATCCACCTTCTTTACTATATTAATTATTAACGCCTAGGTCCAGAAATACGCTGATTATTAATATTTCGTTAATATTAGTAATAATAAGACATAGCCCACGTTACTCACAGATAATTTACCTTTCTTCTGGTGAAAGAATTCTTAAAATCGGCCCAGTAGTTTTTGCGTGACTCAAATACATACAAAATACAAATCTTTCCACTTTATAACATTAGTATAGATAATAGCATATGAATAACACGTTAATAATCTTACTAATATAATATGCGAATATTTAGATGGATGGATGTTTGTTTGTACCCTAAACTAATGAATGGATCTCGATGAATTTTGACATACATGTAGAGCGTAGTCTGGGAGAACATATAGGCTATTTAGTTACTTTAGTTTTTTTTAATTTCATGCTAACGGAGTCGATGACGAAAACTAGTTAGGAATTATTGACAGCATTAAATGTATAAACTTATCTTATTATTTACCTCTATTACTATTATGAATACGAAAGTTTGAATGAACGTAACCAAATAACTGTCATTCCTGAATTTAGATGAAATTTGACTTAAAAATAGAATACGTTCTAGAAGAACGCATTTTTTTAATTACTAGCTTCCGCTCGCGACTCCATCCGCGTGGTATTAAAAAAACAAAAGTGAATAGCCTATGTTTTTCCAGACTATCTTCCACATCTATGCCAAATTTCATCGAAATACGTTCAGCCGTTAAGGCTACAAACTCTAGCAAACATCCATCCATCTAAATTTTCGCATTTATAATATTAGTATGATTCACAGACGATGTAACGGACAACAGCTAGTATAATTAATAATATGTAAGAACATCTTTAACGTATATGTTCCTTGCATATTAAAGACACTTGATAATAAATCGCTTAAATTATATACTTAACATCAAACCGGTTCAACGTGTTTGTTTGTCCTTACATACACATCCTACAAGGGTCAAAAATTAAGACAAAAAAGGCAAGAAAACGTTAGTATTCCAGGTTAAGGTATTTTTTTGACGTTAAGTAAAGATTCTATTACTTGATTTTACTTGACTTGTAATCTACAGTTCTTGGGTTCAAATCCCGCCATGTACCAAGGATTATCGAATTTCAAATTTACATAATTTACCCGACGTTATAACGGTGAAGGAAAGCATCGTGATGCCTACACATATCATGATCAAATGTGTGAAGTCGACCCGCAGTTCAGCGTGGTTGACTATGGCTTAGTCATCCCTTACTTTGATTAGTCTCCGAGCCCCTCAATGGGGTCATGTACTGGTGATGATGAAAGCTTCTACACTAAAATATCTACATTAAAGCCTTTTATAATAACTCAATGGTCCATAAACCACGCGGGTTAAAAAGAGAAATTTCATTAAGTAGGAGAGGCCAAAAAAATGTTACGTGTATTTTCCTACTAATGTATTAATGAATATTTTTTTAATGTTAGCAAAACAATCTAGAGAGGGTCAATAAGTTGCTAAAAACGTCATAACAGAACGTCTCCCTATACGGTTTCATTACTGTAATTATCATTGTTATTTCAAATATTTTGTCTCCGTCGTGCTGGTTTGTATATAAGTAAATAATTCTTATTTAATTTGAAAGATGGATCGAAATTGTGGGTTTTCAAAGGTTTTTAACATTAGTTTTTCCAACAAATTTAAAAGATTTTCAGATAAAATGGTCTCTAGTAATTGTTTGTTTACTTTTACCTATACTAAGATTACAAAATATGTTCCATTATATGTTTTGATGGTGGAAATTTACACTTAAATTCAATATTTTCTAGGAAACAAATGGCGGGAAATTACTTACTATACTTTATAGTATTCTTAGTACTTTTAATTCAATATAGAATAATAACCGTGTAGTTCCATTGTCGTAGAACTTATGTGAAAACATAACGCCATCTCTATTTTGTTTCAAATAATAAAAGAGAAAACAACGTTTGTATACAAATGTTATATCAATGAAAACCGTATTTATATCGTTGGTGAAACCTGTTTGAAACCTGTAAGTAAATGTATACAAATATCGAGAATTTATCTCATAAGTTTGCAGTACATTGAAGACTTAATATGAGTCGGGTTGTCGACAAATTTTGGTTCAGACAGGTAAGGAAGTGTTTATTAAAAATTCTAACAGACCCTTGTTAAAGTAACTTGTATTCCAAATAGTTTAAAAAACATAAGTCATAGATTATTTATTAATAATTGTTTTATCAAATTATTATGTATTGCATTAGCGCTATTCGCTTAAAAAGTACACTTCAAGTATTGTTACTGCAGTTAAAAATGTTTGTAATTATATGTGCAATTTGTGTGTTTATTGTTTCGTATGCAAGGTAAAGTATTTCTTATTATAACGTTTAACTTCGAACATTTGTTAAAAAATGAAGATAAAAGGTATTTATTAAAAGCTAGCTGTTCCCGTGCGACTTCATCCGCATGATATTACAAAAACTTTATTTTATTGTTTACATATGTCAAATTATCAATTACAAATGTCAAAATGACATAACACAAGAGCAACCTTGCTTCCTTGATGTTGGCAGCAACTTATGGTCTCTTTCCCACAATAGGGTTTTTATCCAAAATATTTACCCCCTAAGTTTAATGGCGTTAAAATATATAGCCTAAAGCGCGACGCAAGTATAGGGTTTTTTTACTAAAAGAAGAATTATTCAAAAAAATGCTGCAATTGCTGACATCTTAGGCAACAAAGAAGTGTGTGTTTACGCTTTATTAAAATAGTATAGACATATGCCAAATTTCATCGAAATCCGTTCAGCCGTTTAGGCTAAATTCTAACAAACATTCATCTGAATATTCGCATTTACAATATTACTTAGAATAATAATTCTGCCTATACTAAAATGGACAAAACCGGATCCCTAAGTTCATTGAGATAAAAACTCTTGAATATCAGGTAGTAAAATCACACTGAAAATTTGCAATTATAATTTAAAACTAAAACATTAACTTGCGCTGAACGAATCTCTACAACACACATAAATGTTTTTGCTCATAAACATATCTAAAATAAACTAGCTGTTGCTTGCGACTTCGCCGGCGTGTAATTAAAATACATAGCCTATCTTACTCACAGATAAATTACCTTTCTAACGGTGAAAGAGGTTTTAAAATCGACCCAGTAGTTTTTGAGTTATTTCAATACATACAAAAATGCAAATCTTTCCTCTTTATAATATTAGTATAGATACGAGTATAGATGGCGAAACTATACATATATATAGTGTATATATTCTGTTTTGTCACTAACATAATTTAAGAAACTTACTAACAAGTTTATGAGCTGATTGTACGCTTGAAATAAAGTTATTATTATTATTTCATATCTTTATTCTCTTATTTTTATATATAATACATTTCACATGATTTTCTTAAAAAAATAACAAAATAGAACATATTATATAAAAAAATAGTAAGTCCACCGGCTGCGGAATCCGATGACTCAAGCAACCAGTGGTCAGGGCTGCAGAGACAGGAACCTCCTCACTATTCGTGCGGTTTCTAAAATAACCGCCTTTTGAATCGGGCCCTTAATCCAACTGTCTAGCGAGAGCTTCTTGAGGTGTTGGTCGAAGCTCTTCGCTATCAGCCCGTGTACCGAAACGACTATCGGAATAATGGTAGTCGATTTCATACGCCACATGGCGGTAATCTCGTGAGCCAAATCCAAATATTTTAATAGTTTTTCATTTTCGGCTTTCACGAGATTCTCGTCATGTTGGATAGTGACATCGACTAACATTACACAACTCTCAGACCGATCTATTATTACTATATCAGGTCTATTGGCAGCAATAGTCCTGTCCGTAATAATAGATCGGTCCCAGTAGATCGTGATACTTTATTATTATCATTATACCACAGAAGTAAGACGAACAGTGCTTGGAGAAACCTTTTGTTTTAGTGATATCCTTAGTGTTGTTTAATGACGTTTAAACAACGTCTAATCTCGTCTAACATTTATAAAAAATCAACGGTTATTGCGACTAATTCCCTTGTACAGTCAGGTAAATTGGCAGTGTTCTACCTAAAAAGTTACAATCGTATGAATGAGGGAAAAAAAAGAGTTTAAATGTGTCTGTACGATAAAAGCGGAATAGCGGCACACGGCTAGATTCTTTTTAGTATCCCTTCGTTTGCACTCACTGCTACGTAATTAGTTATTTCTAAGAGGTGGAGTCCGTCTCGTTGCGATAAACAAGGTAATTTTTCTAAACTGCAATACTGCGTATTTCCGCGACTGTACATAAGAACCTTAATAATGCAAATAAAAACATATTAAAACGATAAACTAATCATTAGAGGTTATTATAAGTTAATAAATTACTATAACAGTAATGCATTTTTTTCATACCTGGTATTTCTATCAGCCAATAAAGGCCCTTATTATCGTAGCCGCAAAACACTGCATTTTCTAAAGAAGTCAAGGATAAAACAATTTTGGAAATAGCTTTCAAATAGAAAATAACGATAAAGGTTGTCACGCATTTATTAACCTCACCCATTAGTCTCGTAGTAACAGTTGTAAAAGTGCTTATAAGTGCGTGATTACCTTAAAACATAATAATGTATGGCCACACTGTTTACTACTGTCATGGCGTCATAATAGTAGGGCATTCGTATCCGAGCCACCGACGGGAGCGGACGCCCCAAGCATACAGAAAACATAGGCTTTACGATTGTTTTAGAAATACATTGCATTTGTTTATGTTCCAGATATTCGTTCTGCTAGTGGCATGTCTGCACTCGCTCTCCGCAGGCGTGATGGTCGCGTTCCCCTCCGTCTTGAATCCAGCACTTCTATCACCTAACAGTACAGACATCACCGCTGATAGGAATCAAGCTTCATGGATTGGTAATAAACCTCTATTTTTTCATAACTTTGATGGTGGAAGAGATGCACAACGAGGATATTTCCCCTTATATGTCTCCTGCATCATCCACCCACTTTTCCTTACCATCCCTTACTTACTAGAAAATTAATAAACTAATCTAGACAATCTACATTTAAATAAGAATTGTCATGTTAATATTATTTCTTACTTCTTACTAATGTTATAAATATGAAAGTTTAGATAAATGGATGTTTGTTAGAGTTTGTAGCCTAAACGGCTGAGTGGATTGTGGTGAAATTTGGCGTAAACGTAGAGGATCGTCTGGAATAACACATAGGCTACTCACTTTTGTTTTCTAATATCCACGCGAACGGAGTCGCAGGCGAAAGCAATTAAATAATATAAAATTGGTGGTTAAAACTCTATTGAATCATTCTCTTTTTCAGCATCAATAAATGGACTTAGTGGTATCGTGGGTTTCTTCATATTGTCACCAATATTCCAGAGCTTCGGTCGGAAAGCTGTCAATATAACGTTAAATGTGGTCATGTTCGTTGGCTGGATCACTTTAGCCACTGCAAGTAACGTTACTATGCTGTTCATTGCTAGAGCTATCCAAGGATTAACCGTCGGTGGGGTCTTTATAGCCGCTGTCACTTTATCAGAATACTCAACACCAAGAAGAAGAGGTTACTTTATGACGTTAAAGAAAATATCCATAGGTTTAGGATCGTTGACCTGTCATACTTTAGCATTATTCTGTACTTGGAGACAAATTGCTGGTATTTGTGTAATACCGATAAGTTTAGCGATACTGTTCGTATTATTATGGCCGGAGAGTCCTTCGTATCTCGCAATGAAAGGACGTTTTGATGAATGCGAGAAAGCATTCATATGGTTAAATGGGAATTCGCTTGAAAGTAAAATGGAACTAAAGGAGTTGATCAACGCTCAAATGGAACAGCATGAATTGAAAAAGAAAACTCAAAACCTTTCACAGGTTAAGAAATTTTTTATACAACTTAACAATAGAGAGATGTTGAAAGCTTGTTTTATTGTTGCTTTGGTTACTTTGTGTATTGATGCTTGCGGAAGATATTTCTTGCTTGCGTATTTAACTCAGATATTAGAAGAAATCACCGGTAGTAATTCAATAGCGATGTACGGTTCTATCGTTTCTGATTTATTATTAATATCTGCTTTAGCGGTTTCATGTTTAGTTATTAGATTATTCGATAGACGTACTTTATTGTTCGGTTTAGGATCTGTTACTATATTTTTAATGTTTATTATAAGTATAGCAGTATTTACTAAATCTAATTTTAATTTTCTATCAAGCATAACCTGGTTAATTCCTTGTTTAATTTTGCTGCATTCTTTCATAGCTAGTGTTGGTATTATTCCGGTAGCATTTACGATATCAGCTGAAGTGTTTCCATTAGAACATAGAGGTTTATGTTCTTGTATATCAGGGGTCGCGTTTACAATATTCTATGCTGCTACGTTAAAATTAACACCGTTAATGATAGAACATACTGGAGTATCAGGTACATATACAATTTACGCATTAATAGTAACGTTTTGTCTAGCTATTTTATTTGTTATTTTACCAGAAACTAAAGATAAGACTTTACAACAAATTGAGAACGAAATGAAAGGCAAATCAGATAAGAACGGTAGATTGCTTACTAATTAACAAATTAACACATATAGTAAAGATTTGCATAGAGTTATTTAACGTATTTTATAAGACTTATGAAACGATTTGACAGAAAAAGAATTAAGTTTTATATTATGACGAGCTGCCCGCGACTTTGTCCGCGTGGTATTCGAAAACATACAAACTATATAAATTACAAAAAGCTACGTATCCCTCGGGAACCGGACATTTCTCGGGGATGAAGCTTATCCCATGTGTACTCCAGACTTTGTTTTATATCTGTGCCAAATTTCAATAAGATATGTTGAACCGTTGCAGAATGATCGAGTAAAAATTAAAAAAACCAAATTAATGAATCCCACGGGAACCGTCACTATTCCCGGGATAGCCTATGTGTTCTTCCAGACTATGCTGTAAACCTGTGCCAAATGTTATGGAGATCCGTTCAGCCGTTTAGGCTACAAACGCTAACAAACATCCATCCATCCATCTAAACTTTCGCATTTATAATATTAGTAAGATAAGAAGTAAGATGTACAACCAGCGGTTTTAATTATTTAAAAAGATATCCAAGTATTTATGTTTAATAGTTTAAGATTAATATTCCTGATGGTAATTCAATAAATAATTTACCATTCCTCTTCAAATGTGTATATTATTAAGTAATTATTATTTATTTATTAAGTGTTGTGTTAAGTAGAAATTAAGTAACCAATTAAAAGATGTACCAGAATTTTGTTTCTTGTGTCCTGGATTATTTAAAAACAAATGTTTTTACAATGAATAAAGAATTATTAAAGTGTTTGTGATTTATTGAAGTAACAAACCATGACAGCCCTTGTTTTAGAATTATTTAACATACATTTAAAAACATGTTTTACTAGCACTTATTATATTAACTAAACAGCCGAATACTGGAACGAATCTTAACACGTCAGATGAAATTTTAATGAAGTTTGAAATTAAGACACATATTTAAATGCCATTTGAATATTCTACCATAATTGTTTTATTCAATTTAGTGAGATTGTATGTTTTACATACGTATGAGAACATATTGTCACCAACACAACAACAAAAGTAAATCGATTACAATATAAATGAGAAATTATATTTACACATGTCATTGGCTGACAACGTGATTTATTTTATCCACGCGTACCTAAATTTATAAGTAACTTTATGTTCTTATAGACTATGTTCTACATCTGTGCAAATTCAACAGTGGTAGTACCCGCTTTAACATCTTAGCACGAATGGGCCGACACGCCCGGTGTAATACCACGACCACACAGAAGACAGGCGTGAAATGGAAGCAATTCCGTGTTTCGCCTGGTGAGTGAGGTGCCGGAGGCCTAATTTAAGTCCCTTTCTCCTTACCACCCTTTTCTTATAAGGAGTGGATGGGAACGGGAAGTGGATTTCACGGTAGAGGAGATGCATAGGAAGGGGAAACATCTTCTTTATGTGCGTCTCGTCCTACGTCGGATAAGGGTAGACAACGCATCTGCATCTGCTATTTTGGCGGATTCAGGTGGCCGCTTGCTTGTTTGCCACCTTATATTATAAAAAAAAATCAAGATCTGTTAAGCCGTTTTGGGGATACGTAGTAACAAACATGCAACTAACCTTTAGTATATATAGTATTAGTAATATAATTTCCTCTGCAGTATTTTATGAACAGAAAAGTAAAACATTGTTCTTAAAATCTCGGTATTTTACTTCGAGTTGTATTTTAATAGTTCAGTGTTGTTTTGTATTTTCTTTAGCAACTGCCGTCTTTATCTCGGAATGGTGAATATTTAAGTATGTTGGTACAAAAGTTGCTCGATTTACAAACGCTGCGTTTGCATTGTAAATGAACTCAAGAAAATAACAGTTGAAAATGCAAGTTATTGTATATTTATACCTCAAAAATATTATTAACTAGCTGTTCCTTTGCGGCTTCATCCGCATGAAATTAAAAAAAACTTTATCTTATTGTTTACATTTGTCAAATTACAAATGTCAAAATGACATGACATGATGACAACCTTGCTTCCTTGATGTTGGCAGCAACTTATGGTCTCTTTCACACATTAGGGCCTTTCTCCAAAATATTTACCACCTAAGTTTAATGGCGTGAAAATATATAGCCTAAAACGTGACGTAAGTGTAGGACTTTTTATTAAAAAAAGAATTATTCATTAATATGCAGTAATTGCTGATATCTTAGGCAACAATGTAGTGTTTGTTTACGCTTTTATAGATTGAAAACTGTACATTTATACAAATTAGATCTTGTGGTATAGAGGAAAGAAAGGTGAACAATGTTTTAAAGATTAGTTTGTAGTTTGCTTAGGTGACATAATCAAGAAGGAAGTGATAACAGATGACGGATGATAGAGTTATACGGAGGATGAAAACCCGGTGCGACGACCCTACGGGAGTAGGATAAGGTAGGGGAGATGATGATTAGTTTGAACTGTTAGCTTTTTCAACGGTTTTCCATATATTAATATGTTTTACACGTATATTCCGGCTCAATGGGGATGTTTCCTAATTTTTGGAATAGCCTTTATTTTGTAGATAAACCATGTATGAACACGAAAAAAAAATTGTATAAAATATAATACTCATTATTTCAATAAAAAAACACGTAAATAAAAACAACTCTTTAATTTCCCCCCAAAACGTACCATGACGTCACTTCTTTGCATACGAACCTCGCGTCACGGCCTGTCACTGTCAATTTGAAAGAACCATTGATTGATAATACTCGTAAATCTTTGTTGTCTAAAGTTGTTTTTAGTAATGGAGATAAAAATGAAAAAACCAAAATGAACAGAAGGTGATACTTTTAACGTATTAATTACACTTGTTGCTTCTCGTGGAAGATTATGTTTGTGTGTAAATAGTGACCAGGTATAAATTAAATTGTACTATAAGCTACTCTTATGAATTTTGATATATTTTTCTTTTGTAATATTCATAAAATGTTTTGCTCATAACTTATGTCGTAATTATAAAAACACTCAATAATGGAGTCCTCATAATATAAAACACGCAAACTCAATTATTACAATCATTTAGAAAAAAATATAACTACAAAATGCACTGACATTCACTGAAATTGGTCACACTGCCATGTTATATGCGAAGAAGTGACGTCATTGGTGTTTGAGATCGAGTAATGGAGGGTAAAAAATATTGCAACGTTTTTAATTTATATTTAATTTGAGACAAACATTCAAGGTCTCTAAATGTTATTATAGGTTATAAAATGCTGTCTTTAAAATATTAAACATAACTTTATTTGGATTTGTAACATTAGGAAACATCCCCATTGGTGCAATACAACATTGACAGGTGTGAAGTGAAAGCAATTCCGCGTACAGTATGATGAGTGTACGTGACGGAGGATTTTAGATTTTTTTACTTTACCTTTGTGTAAGGAATGGATGGGATTTGACGATGAAGAGGACGCATGGATGGGGATACTATCCTTTTGTGCGATGTGCATCTTTTGCCTTTTAAAAGGACAGGCACACCATTGACTAAACTATCGCACAACTTTTTAGTCTCGCTATGATTCCCATGAGCTTATATGGAGGTGAAACTATACAGTTAATTCAGCTGCAAAAACAACGAAATTGTAGGCAATGTGGGTATTTAGTAAGCGGTAGCTTCGCTATTTCAGCGAATGCAGCTACCCGTTGCTCATGTGATGTTTTTATATATATTCATTACGAGCCTGTGTAAAACTGTCTCATTTATAAAACCGTCACATGCCGCGAGTTAAAACCTTAATTCGTTTTCGCCCGTTTCCCTCGTCGGACGACGGACTGAAAATTGTTTAACTCGATTCATTAGCCGTCGCTTATCAAATGTAAGACACGTACCGTTTAAAATAACTAAATTACAACGTTTATTATGATTTGGTATTAAATGATTTCCACTAAAGTTTTGTGTAAACACTGCAGCGCAAATCTTCAAGCTTTCGTTTTGGTAGTCATGCATTCCATTTAGTGATACCATGATTAGAAGACTACTTGTAACAGTGGTAAGCCCGCTTTAACATCGCACGAATGGATCGGCTCGCCCGGTGTAATACCGCGACCATACAGAAGACAGGCGTGAAATGTGAGCAATTTCGCGTTTCGACTGATAAGTGTGGAGCCGGAGGCCAACTTTAGTCCCTTTTTCTACCCAACCTTTTTCTAATAAGAAAAGGATGGTGAAGGAACATGGATTTGACGGTGGAGAAGATACATAGCAAGGGGAAATATCCTATTTATGTGCGTCTTCAACGTCGATTTAGGGGATGGCAACGCATCCGCGAATGCGAATGTCTATGGGCAGCGGTCGCTTCACCATATCGGTGGATTCAAGTGGCCGCTTGCTCGTTTGCCGTTTTACGATATAATAAAAAACATTTAAATTATTAAAACAGATATGTAATACTCTTATTATCTATTGTTATTTAATATCCCTTATCAAATACAACAATAAATCATAATTATCAATAGGGGGCGTAGATCACAGAATTCAGAATAGATGTCAATGGTCAACACCATATCGTCAAATATGGCCGCATTATTTTTTGTAATACTTCTTTTTATTAATTCAATAAAAAGTGAGACATGTGTTATAGACAATCGTTCATTAAGCACCGCCTGGGAACAGAAACTTCGAGAAGAATTAACATCATGTGATACCAGATTTCAACCACCAAGTACCAATCATACAATTGTAAACATCAGTTTCACCTTAAAATCCTTCAACTTCGAACACTATGAAGAAATCTTTACAATCAACAGCTGGGTATTTTTAACCTGGGATGATTCAAGACTTACTTGGAATCCGGATAACTACGATGGTATTACCGAAGTCCTTCTTCCCAGTAACAAAATATGGACACCCAAATTATCTCACTACAGCTCCAGTGGGAACGACGAATTCGATTACATCATGACTTCTTGTCGTATAACAAACAAAGGACATGTAACTTGTATACCTAGAGTTATCCATCAAACTGTGTGTAATACGAAATTAACACATTGGCCGTACGACACACAGAACTGTACATTCGAATTTGGATCAAAACCTGGATTCGATCATGTTAAATTCGTTTTAGATTCTGGTAGAGGTATTAAGATGTTTGGTGCTGAATACGGTCCTGGATGGACTATAACAGATTTCTCAAAGACGGAGACAGAAGATTCAGAATCGGTTAAATTTTCTTTTAATTTTATTGTTGAACGTGAAGGGGTTGGTTTAGCAGCGATCGTTATAGTTCCTTCTTTAGTTTTGTCGTTTATAACAGTTTTATCAATGACTTTAAATGTTGAAGATAAGATACGTTTATTTATACTATGTTTTGGTTTGCTAAATCAATTTACGTTTCTACAAGAAATCAATTCAGATTTACCACAACATAGCCCTGATACTCCTACAGTAGTATTGTTCTTGCGTTCGTCGATTGTTTTAACTTTATTGGCTATCGGAATAACTTTTCTTTTAACTCATTTATATAGAAAATCTAAGCCACCATCAAATTTTATTATCACATTTAATGAAAAGATTTTAGATTCGTACGTAAAATATATCATTTGGCCTAAATGGAGTAGATCTGAAGAAAAAGAAATGAATAACGATGCTGCGAAAATACTAACTGCATGGATCGATTTTGTTAGTATTATTAATTTTATTTTCTTGTTAATTATTGTTATAACATATATCGTGATGTATTATATTTATATACCTAAAGAACCTGAATTCTAGACTCTAAGACTTTAAATCTGTTACTTACATAAAATATGGTGTAATTGCTGACATCTTAGGCAACAAAGAAGTGTGTGTTTACGCTTAATTATAATAGTATAGATATTTCCCTTTTAGATATTTTACTTTAAAGATGTTACTTGCATCTTTAAAGTCTTAGAGTCTAGAAATATGTATCTAAATTATATTTTATGATGATACAAGTTTTGTTTTAATATAAAAAAAATTTAAAAAAAAAAATAGTTTAACTTAAACCTCAAAAGCATTTAATTTTAAATTATTAGGCTGTACATTAAAGACTGAAATTAAATTTAAATAAAAAATGATTATTCTGCATTTATAATTGTACAATCTGGTAAATGTCTACATATCGATTAACATAATGGGAACAAAATTCTCTTTACGCGGATAGATTGCTGGTACTACCTGCTCCTCGGGAAACATTAACTTGTTAATAATTTTCAACTTTCCCTACAGCATTAATCTTTTATTTAAATACTAGCTTTCGCCCGCGACTACATCTGCGTGGTATTTGAAAAACAAAAGTGAATAGCTTATGTGTTCTTCCAGACTATATTCTACATATATGCTATTTCATCGAAATTCGTTCAGCCGTTTAGGCTACAAACTCAAACAATCATCCATCCGTCCATCCATTTATCCTTCCATCCATCCATCTTAACTTTCACATTTGTAATATTAGTAACATTCCTAGTTTTATCGTGGTTATATCCGGTTGCATATAGTTTTGTAAATGCATACTATTTCCTTGCAAAGTGTAAAGCGGAACTCCATTGCTCTAAACTGCAGACATTTATGTTTGTAGGAGCATTACAGTGCAAATTGTAGACGTTCATCTTGTTTTCTCTTCTGTTACTTTAGCCAGTAATAGAAGTAAAGATATCTTACGAAAATGAATGGTTATAATGAGGTTTTTTTACTTACTCTGTGACAGTTAAAAATAAGTGTATTTTACTTTCATATATAACAATTACTTTCAGGTAAATGTTCTATTAAAATCCATCAAGCTTTTTGGAGGTTATCACACTTCATACTTCGTACTCATACTAATATTATAAATGCGAAAGTTTACATGTATGGATGGATGTTTGCTTGAGTTTGCAGCCTAAACTGCTGAACGGATTACGATAAAATTTGGTACAGTTGTAGAGTATAGTCTGGAAGAACACATAGGCTATTTACTTTTTTTTTAACTACACGAGGATGGAGTTGTGGGCGAGAGCTAGTGTAGAATAAACACAGACTTGACTGAGAAAAAAATGTTTTTTTTTTAGTTTCCTTTCCGTTTTCATCAATACTAATATTATAAGGAGCAATTAGTTCTAGTACGTAATGAATAAACTCAAAATCTATTAGAACAATTTCAAAACTCCCCTAGTTTTGTACACTTAGCAAACTTAATCTTAACTGTCTTCTCAAGAAATTTATATCAAAAACAATCATTTAATAGAAGGGACGCAAAAGCATTTACCTACAAGCTTTAACCCGCGACTTTGTCCGCAGGTAAAGAAAACAAAAGCGGCTTATATTTTCCAGACTATGTTCTATATCTATGCCAAACATCATCGAGATCAGTTTAACAGTTCAGGCTAACTCTAATCTATCCAGAACTTTCGCATTTATAATATTAGTAAATCTAACTAATATTATAAATGCGAAAGTTTAGATGGATGGATGTTTGTTAGAGTTTGTAGCCTAAACTGCTGAATCGATTTCGATGAAATTCGGTATGGATGTAGAGGATAGTCTTGAAGAACACATAGATACTAAGTTTTGTTTTTTTTTTTTTTTAATTCCATGCGGACGGAGTCGCGGGCGAAAGCTAGTCTTCAATAATTTTGATTTGAGTTTAGTCATTCTGTTTTGTTAATATTTTTATTCTGTATAGGAAAAACAATTTTTAACGTTATTTCCATAATCAATTTCAGAGCTGCGTAAAATATTTCACTCTCTTATCATACCGTTGCCACCTTGTTTGGAAGTCCTGTGATTTTTTACGATAAATTCACATTTATAATATTAGTAAGATATTGACAAACCTTACTTTTTTTTGTAATTTATTATATTATATCTGTATTATCTGATTTATATCAATTTTCTTAAAAATCATACGATATTCTTTAGTTTAAAAAAACAAAAGTGACTAGCCTTTGTGTTCTTCCAGACTATCCTCTACATCTTTACTAAATTTCATCGAAATCCGTTCAGCCGTTTTAGCTACAAACTCAAACAATCCATCCATCTGAACTTTCGCATTTATAATATTACTTACATTAGTATAGAGATTACACAAGTTTCTACATCGATGTGTTACTCAGGGCTTACTTAATGAAGCGTATGCGTTAATTTGCGGTCTGGGAGGTTGCCAGTTCGTGGTACAAACTGACCCCGTTACTATAACTCATAAATAGGAAAATCAACGTCAACGAAGAAATTATACAACGAAACTTTTCTCACTAATATTATAAATGCGAAAGTTTATATGGATGTTAGAGTATTGTTAGAGTTTGTAGCCTAAATTGCTGAACGGATCTGGATGAAATTTGGAATACATGTAGAGTATTGTCTGAAAGAACATTCTTTTGATACTTTCTTTTGTTTTAATTTATTCCACGCGAACGCAGTCGTAACTTTTTTCGCTGCCGGAAAATGTATGAGTACACTTAATAGTGTATTCATGTTATAAAAGATGGCGCTGTATCTAATGTTTAGTTTTAAAACAAAACACTATCTACCTTAAAATCTCCATTACATTTAAGTTTTGCAATCAATTATAACTTTATCAAAATATTTTGTTCGAGTTACTCCATCTATCGGCTTTTCCTAACAACATTATGACAAAAAGATAAACAATGGTTAACAAAATTGCAATTTGATACAATACTATGTACAAATTATGTGCTTACAATTTCACATAGAACGGTTTAGAAATGACAGCGCGGCGCATCGCGGGCACATCAACCGCACGCGCTGTTTGATTTATCGCTCGTATGCGGCCTTTACATCGTACTTATATCGCTTATTGCGATCAGAATACGTACGGGAGACTGTAGAAGTCACAATTTTATAAAATTACATGGAAATCATACTAATATTATAAATGCAAAAGTTTAGATGGATTGATGTTTGAAAGAGTTTATAGCCTAAACGGCTCAACGGATTTCGATGAAATTTGGTACAGATGTAGAGGATAGTCTGAAAGAACACATAGGTTACTCACTTTGGTGTTTTTTAAATCCATGGGGACGGAGTCGCGGGCGAAAGCTAGTGCTGAATAAGGTCTACTATTTGCGTGAAAAATTATGTCATATTAATGAAATTAAACATCAACATGAGAAAGTAATAACACAATTAAAACAGATATAACAAAATTAATGTTGAATAACTTGGTAATCTAAGTTGAGGGCATGCGTAGGATAAGATGGAGTCCCATCTGCTTGTGTTTGTAATTAAGTTAACAAACTAAGACTGTGACTTGTGGGACTTGCGACTACTCTAATGGTATTTCATAGCTTACATCTACTGTGTATTTTGACGTTAGAAGTAATCTTCGAACACAACGATGAAATAATATTTTTCAATAGCATTTAAATAATATTTCTTATTTAAATCTTTGATATTATATTTCTACAGGCGCTTTAAGAAAAGTCCCTAATTAACCAGAAAATAAGAAGAGATTTTTGATGCCACTTATACAAACCTATAAATGAAAAGTTATTTATTGTTTCGTGTTTTTTGTATATTTTGAAAACTAAAAAAAATGTTAGTAAACCTGAAACTAAAGAAGGTAACTAGTTTGTTTCGCAATAATCTTTTTAAAGTATGTTTTTCAAGACATTTAGAGATATTTGATAAATAGATCCTGTAACATCTGGTACAAGGGTTGGCTTGTCGAAACTTTATCAAAACTTTTCTCAACCTTATGTTGTTTGGGTACAAACGTGTTTCTTTCCAACTTTTGAATTCAACGTTTTGCCTTTTAGAAACACATTAGATCCTTATATTTTTTTAATATTAGATCCATATGTTTTTAAGACTATGGAACGCCAAATAAATACATACCTGCGAAAAAGAATTAGCTTGCTGTCGCTTCTGGAATTATAACAAAAGTGACAGGCGCTCGTAAAAATATATAAGCGCCTGTTCTTTTTTTCACACACAATGCCGATTAAGTGTATAATTTACATATATAAGATTTCAATTATTGTAAGGTTTATTACTTGATAATAACATAGTTTTATAAAATGAGAAATACTGTATTATGAGAGATAACTATATACACTACATTAGTATTACAAATGTTATTCAAACTGATATATCAATGATGGTAACATTAAACCTCGGAATATTAATTAATATCTGGTATCCTACGCTTTGATTGCAATCGACGCAATGATTTGACTACTGAAATGTTTTGTTTATGAAATATCAGTGTAGCAAATAACATCGACTAGAAAAAGTATTATATTAAGGGCCTGTCCTACCAAATTGTAAATTGTCAGATAACAATCTAACATGTAAAATAAGTGATTGAAATATCGGATTTTTACCTTATCTGACAATGACGTCATTTTTAAGCTATCTGAGCCTCTAGCAGCCAGTGGTGGGACAGGCCCCAAGTGCTATACTATGATTTTGTCATCGTCTTTCTGTCCCTATCCCACTACAACACACAACTACATATCGAGTAGTGTTCGCATTTACATATAATGTAAATATCAAAGCGCGACTAAACAGTTGTGCGATAGTTTAGTTTCAGGTGTGCGCACGCTCTAATAAATATAAGGGCCTGTCCTACTGCTGGCTGATAGAGGCTCAGATAGCTTAAAAATGACGCCACTGTCCGATAAGGTAACCAAATCTGATATTTCACATATTTTACACGTTGGATTGTTATCAGACAATTTAAAATTTGGTGAGACAGGCCCTTAATATTACTAAATACATGTATGTATTTGTAAATTAACCGAGGAATAATGATTTTATTT